ATGCCCTGATGTGGGGGCTGGGGGGTGTGTCGTCATGGTCGGGACATAGAAGGGGGTGCGCGGCTAAATAAGTTTGGGAACCACTGGTCTAAAACATTCAGAGCATGAACAAATATCATTAATCGTCTTAAAATGAACTTCTTTCATTTGAAAATACGTATTTTCAGAAAAGGCACTTGAGCTATTGTTCTGCCTTCTTCTCAAAATTCCCACACAGCAATGTATTGTGGGTAATAACCGTCACCCAAGTCCGCATCAATGCAGACTTGGGCAAAGTGCGGACCAAGGGACCAAGTGCACTCCCACCCCTTTACCGGGATGCGCAATTGAAGGGCACAAGGGTGGAAGTGCGAGTATTGGAATAGGGCTATTGTCAAAACACATTCATCATTTAAACTGAACAGCATGTGAGTGATTCAGGGCGTAAGTAGGGCTGGGCGAAATGGCCTTAAATCATTATCATGATATATTGAAGATTTCACCTCGATAACGATAAATGGATAACTACAGGTATGTGCAGAAACAAAAGTTGTCCACTAGATGGGGCTGTCACATGTATTATAATGAGTCACATTTTTGCATGACTCAAGGTGGTTCTGCTTCTTAAAGGGACATAAACGTTGCCAACCTACACACATCTTTTCATTTTTTTATTATCAAATTAATCGCGATGGGAAAAATAATCCCGATAAGTCAGAAATTTTGATAACGACACATTTTCTATTTATTGCCTAGCCCTAGGCGTAAGGCAAAGTGGATTTGAAAATAACTTACAGCCCGGTTGACTTACATTCATTTTATTTATTTATTTTTTTTTGTGAGGGGATCCATGAGCTGACCGGAAGAGGAGGTGACTCATAGGCTCCCTACATAACCTCCTTTTAAACTGACATCGTTTTACGGAGCAGAGGTGTTCTCTTGAACTTTTGCTGAACAAGAACTGGAGGGATGACACTAATCCTGCGAGTTATGTTCTCTCTCCTAGAATGACACACAAACACTCAAACTGGGGAGAGAAAATCCCACTGTGTGTGTGTGTGTGTGTGTGTGTGTGTGTGTGTGTGTGTGTGTGTGTGTGTGTGTGAGTGAGAGAGCGAGAGAGAAAGATGAAAGAAAGCTTAGCTGCCAGAGTGTGTTGTCTGTAATATCTGCCTGTGTGAGCTGGGAATGTTATGTAACAATTCAGTTTATGAGTGTCACACACACACACACACACACACACACACACACACACACACACACACACACACACACACACACACACACACACACACACACACACACACACACACACACACACACAACAGGAGGAAACAGCCTTTTTTCATAAATCATCAACGTTAGAGCATTCTGACAACTTGTCACAGTGACTTGACAGCAACGCTGTCCGTGACAACTTGTTCACTCAGATCAAGTTTGTAAAGATCGTAATCATGCAGCCTCTTACTTGGCCTTGCAAACAGTGGATGATAATGATGATGGTCCGTAACAGGCCCTGGACACCTAACTGTACCAGGAAGCTGATTAAAGCTAGTACAACACCTTATGTGACCAAAAGGCCTGACCATCAGTAAAACCTGATTGATAAAAATGTTTTAATAATGTCTAACTGGAGAGTCACGGGAGGACAGGATGTGATAAAGGAGGAGGAGGGCCAGCAACAGATTACTGCTCAACTGTGGCCTCCGGTAAACTAAACAGAACCACCAACGCTTGGTGAGAACAGGAAGTACGACAAAAAACAGCTTGTTTCAGTAAAACATTAAAAATCAACAAAAGAATAGATATCCCTCACCACCTTTCATGAGTTTGAATAAGGTGATCCTGTAGGTCATGTTTAGTTTAATGCCATAACCCCGTCTTCACACATTAGTGGCACGGAACAGCTGCAGGATGTCACTGCTTCAAATATTATCCAGTATAGTCGAGGAGATTGATTCAAACTGGCCGCAGCATAAAAACGTCCAGGTGCGTCCCAGAAGCAGCTCGCTGCTCGGCTTCTATTTGTGCTGAGAGCCTCTTCTGAGACAAGTCAATTAGTTGTTTTTTAAAGGTGCATGGAGTAAGGCTGACATCCTGTGGTCACATTTAGGTACTGCAGTCGAGGTATAACAACAAACAGGTGACTCTGGCTCCTGTGAATTTCATGGCTGCTGCCACTTACGGATCAATGCCAGAAAATTCTAGAAGACAAGCAAAGATGAGTCATACACAGTAAGTTGATAAGTAGATAAATACAATTCACTGTAATAATTGTTGGTAATTGGAAAATGCAGGTTGAGACCTTTTTTTTTTAGAGCCAACTTATTTGTTTCTTAACAGTTGGCATTGATACTGTAGCTCAATGTTAGCCTCTAGTCATTTTCAACTGATATTTGGAGATGCCATGGCTTCTTACCCATTCTTTCCATCGGATAAGCATCGCAAAACATACTTTGTGGCAAAGAGCCGCCATTATTGTGGATGGGTTTCTTTCCACAGGCAGTAAAGTGTAACGTTTTGGAGGCATCCCAGAAGTAAAGGGTCACCATCATTACGTTTCGAGATCATTTTTACACACTAGCTAACCCTAACCCAAAACACGTCAAACTCTGCATTTTAGATTGTGTCAAACACAAAAAGCAGTGTAAAACATCTGGAAACTTTCAAAATAAAAGTCACGTGTAGATAAACGTACGCAACTTTCTGTGAAATCCTCGTAGCCGATGTCAACAAATCAGAAATTAAACCATAGACCTTTTTGGATACATGCAGCTGTCTTTCTCCTTGCTTGGTATTGTGTGGACTTCTGAAATCACATGTGGTGTTGCATGATTTTGTAACTTTGCAGGACCAGCGGCGAGGAACGCTTTTGTCCAACTCACTCCTGGTTGGAAGGGAGTTTGTGGGTAAAACGCAGCTATTACATTACACACCACCTTCACGTCCAGTGGAAAGAAGGGGTCCGGGTTATAAGAAATAACTTCTGGGCTGCTCCTTTTACTGGCTTCTCTTCTTTCCACAACTCTGCTACCTGAGAAGAAAATCTATTTCAATGTAACCTTCCGTCCAACATGACTGAAACATTAGACCGTTTTGTGATCATTTCACTGTAAAGGTTTGACTTATTGTACCATTTAGGTAAATTTTTCTAATAGATGGTAAATTATTGCTTTAATGGTAAAATATTTACACAGGGCTTCATGTTGGTGCAGTTTGTAGCACTGTTGCCTTGCAGCAAGAAGGTTGCAGGTTTGAATCCCGGCTAGAATCTCTCCACAGTTTGCATGTCCTCCTGCAAGCAGGAGCTTTCGGCAGGTTCTTCAGCTTCACTTAACAGACCAAAAAATATGTTAGGTTGATTGGAGACTCTAAATTCTCCCAGGTGTGAGTCAGAGTGTGTTTTGTTTTTGTGAGTCCTTGGGATGCAGGGTGTCATCTGCCTCTCCATTCGCTCCCCACGTCCCTACCAGCTCAGTGGCCTAGTGGTAGAGTGTCCGCCCTGAGACTGGGAGATCAGGGTTCGATTCCTGGTTGGGTCATACTAAAAACTTTGAAAAAATGGGACCCAATGCCTCCCTGCTTGACACTCAGCATTAAGGGGTTGATTGGGGGGTTAAACCACCAAATGGTTCCCGAGCGCGGCTGTGTCTGCAGCTCACCGCTCCCCCAGGGGATGGGTCAAATGCGGAGAACAAATTTTGCACACACACCTGTGTGTGACAACTAATGGGACTTTAACTTTAACCTACTGAGGAAGGTTCCGGACCGAGCCATCAAATATCTTGCTAAATTTCCCTCTCCCAGAACTTACCCTGAAGTTCCAACAATGCAAACACTGCAACAGATAGCGATACGTTTACGAGGACAAGCGCAAAGTGACGGTATCTGCTGATGGAGCTTGTTTGCTGCTTGTAATTTTGCTCCACCACTAAGAATCCAGCATGATTATTTTTCCTCTCCAAAGTCAGATCAATATGTAGATCATTTAAAATTTAATGTATCTAAGGAGACTTTGAACTACAGTAATTGAGACCATGAAGCCATTAGGAAAATGATTACCGAGGAAACAGATCAAGCGAAGAGCCGGGTCATTTTTCAGACCCCACGCCCATCTTTTAATAAACTCTCTGATTAATATTGATCAGTGTGAAAGTAGTGTGTTAGTGCTCTTGCTGCTGGAGGTGGAGCCGGTTTCAGCAGCTGGATCAAAAGTGCTTCGCTACTCAGAAATATCGGAGCTGATTTAGAGGTACTAAAGCGACAAATTTCATACAGAAAATTTTAAACCTTTATTTAAATGAAACTTCAATTAGTGGCCATGCCTACACACTGGGCTGCCATATTTATCACATTTTCACCTGAAGTTACTAAATCTGAGTAATGAAATAATTAATGCGTAATGATGCCTGATATTTTAGCACAATATTAAAAACTAAGTTGTACCAAAGCAGGTATTAGCTAACCAGCAATAAAAAAACAAACAAAGAAAAAATCATCTACTGAAACTAAACTAGAAACAGTTGATACAAATAACAAAAACCAACCTGTACTTAGGCAAGGAAATTATAAAATAAATAAATAAACGTCGGCTTAGGAATGAATTACCGTCTTCACACTTTCTGTTTCTAGGGTTTAATAAAACAACAACAAATGCACATTTCTGGTAAAACAACACCAATAATCCGTGTTTGAGATATTGATTGGAACATTTCAACCCCTTGGCCATGTTCCGGTAAGAGCAATGAACACACACATGCACGCACACACACACACACACACACACACTGCCCAGAGCTTTAACAGCCGGTCTTGGAGGTTGTGACTTGCACATCTCTCCCCTCCGTGTGAAACAACACGACTTCTTTTCACTTTCTTTCATTTATTCCTCTAGTTTGCCGTCGAGCCACGTGCTGTCTGTTGACTCTGCCTGCTGCCGACAGGCCTGCACCCCACTTGTGTTTTTTCCTCCTCACCGTGCTGATCACCCCTTCTCTTTCTTAACCCCCTCGTTTGTGCAGTCTCATCTGCAGCTGCGCCGTGTGGCCGACAGCCGTTCAGGTTGGCTTCCTGCCTGTTGAGATGCTCCGAGGGGAAACACTGTGAAGGGGGTTCATGTTGATGAAACTGATCTGCTCAGGTAAGAAACAAGACTTTTGTCTAACTCTGCTCATTTTTTGTGATTTCTGTGACTTGATGTGCTCTGAACTGATGCAATGTTAAGAAAAGAGAAGAAAGAATGAGGCTTTCAACCAATTTTAATGAGTTGCTTTCTAAGTTTAGTGGATATTAATAAATAGTAATTGTGTGCAACACTGTTAGAGAAAATTCCTCTTCAACAGTCGCAGAAAGTAAAATACTTTATCACTTACATTAATAACACTACAAGTATTTTATTCCACAACTTTAACTCAATTGCTACTTCTTGTTCATTCAAGTAACTTAACTTCAATGTGTTTGAGAAAAGTGCAAATAAATCTGATCCTGTTGTTGCCGTAGCAACAAGATTTTAGAACTGTTTATGTTAGAAAGTTCTACTTTAGTGGACTTAAATAAATGGAAAAGCAGTCTGCAATTGTCAGATTTAAACCAAACGACTAACCAATAACACGAAGAGCATCTAGAACTGAAGCTAATGTGGATTAAAATGCATTAATTCCTGGTTTTGTCACAAATACAAAATAGATCTGTCTTTAATTTTGGAACAAAAGAAAGAAAGTTTTTTTTATTCTAGTGCCTCTGGGATTATTATTCACCATGCTCCTGCGGCATAATTTGATTTGTTGTTTTCATCTTCATGTTTGATTTATTTTTATCTAGATTACAGGTTGAGCTTTTTAACTTGACAGGAAAAGGTAGACGCGTATTTATAGAAGCTTCTAATCTCAATAAAAGATGAATCACTCTCTTATGCAACAACTCCTGACCCCACTGGGGGCAAGAAGGAGGCAGGAAAGGAGGGAGGAACAGATGGATGGATGGATGGACAGATGCTGTGTTTTCATGACTCACTTGACCTTCAAGTAGTTTGTCGCTTCTTCATCTTTCTCGATCTTCCCTTCTCACTCTGTGTGACTTTCTGTCCTTCTGATTCCTCTTTTTTTATCGATTTCTCATCACTCCTCCCTTTTTCCTTTAGTATCTCCTCATTCTTTCCTCCTAACTCTTCACATTTTTCCCTGTTGTTAACCCCCCCCCCCCCAAACCTCCGTACACACACACACACACACACACACACACACACACACACACACACACTCTCTCTCTCTCTCTCTCTCTCTCCCTCGACACCTGAAGAAATCTCTCTATTCCCTTCAGGGCATTTAGACTTCTACCAACAGCACTCCCCTCTGAGGAAAAGAAGTAAAACGATGAATAAAAGAACAGAGTGAACACAGATAAAAAGCTTTGGGATGGGCGGTCCTACAGATATGCTGAGGTAATTCTGCATGGGGGGGGGGGGGGGGGGGGGGGGGGTAAACATGTTACAGTCCCGTGGCCCTGTGGAGATTTTCACCACAGAACAGAGGGGGACAGTGTCCTCCCTTTCTGGTCGGCTCATGGGTCCCCGGAAGAACGAAAAAATGAGCGCAAGAGCTGAAGGAGTTGTGGTGTGTAGTGGAGTTGCTAATGCTAACGGTTAGCAGTTGAGACGTTTTCTGCTGTCGTGAGTACAGATGGGCGAGTCCATGAATGTTAAGTGACAGTGTGACGTAGATTTGTCAGGATTTTTATATCCCAGAGTTTCACCGTCCATCTTCTATCAGAAGCTAATGCAGGAGATAGATGTAGGAGACTATTTTCATGTTCAGCCTGCATGACAAACTCAGAGTGACCAAAAACAATCATTAAAATAGTTTTTTCAGTTAAAAATTAAAATCAACACAAACATTTGGACAAGATCCTTTTAAATACGATTTTGCTTTTTGACCCTGAGAATTAGCACAAAAAATGTATTTGAAAATTTGAATCCGCTCTTTATTATTCATCTTTGCATTCATCATTATACATTTACAATGTTTTAAATTTTCGCATGATTAATTTTTTTGCCAACTTTACTTGTTTGTCAGGGAAAAAACGGTATAATTGATTGTTTTTTGTAACATCTCTGGTATACCACACATTAGAAATGTAAAAATAATTTAAAATGTTAATTTTGTTAAAACACATAAATGTGTCAAACACACTTTAGCTAGATCACTGTCACTTCCCCAGTAATTTATTTTTTCGTTGGACACTAAGAAACTCCCATCTTTTCTTGGAAAGTTGCTGGAATTGGGCTAGAAACCCTCTATAGCATTCATGCACTCATAAAGTGGTATTTCATAGCATCTAAACCCACTGAAAAGATTTATAGTTGGTCTTTTAGCCCCTTTCACAGTGTGGGTTTAAGAATTGTGTCTCTTTGCTTTGAAACAAAATGTGCTGTTGAAGTGTTTCGTGAATATTTTGACATTTTCTGGAAATATACATTCATCAGGCTTTCACAGTCACAGTCTTGAGGTGTTTTTGTCGGTGATTAAGGGAGGATGACTCTCACCCCATTTGCAGCAGTTTGAGGATCGCTGCTATTCCGCGTCAGTGAAGGACATGAAGTCATCAGACAGCAAAAAGCATCCAGATCTGTCAGTAAAGATGTTTATTCAGATGTTTGTTTTAGCTATAACATTTATTCAAACTTAGATTAACCCTTTTTTTAATGTGCTGTGGGTGTGCGCTTCAAACACTTGTTGTTTAGTGTGTGTGTGTGTGTGTGTGTGTGTGTGTGTGTGTGTGTGTGTGTGTGCGTGCGTGTGTGTGTGTACGCTTCACCTCTCGTATCTCTGCTGAAGATAAAAGCTAAACAGCATCTACATAATAGAGCGCCGACATGCTTTTGCATCAGATGAGCGAAGATCTGAAATGGAATCTCCGTTGGTTCCGCCTCACTGCTCACATCAACCATCCATCCATTCATCAGAAATGCACAATGCCTTGCCTTTCCATTGCCGAGCCATCTATCATCACACTCACTATGCTTTATGGAAATAAAGGAGAAAGCTGCATTCAGTCGTATTTTACCTTCCTCACATCCACCCATCTGTCTTTGACCATCCATCCATCCATCCACGTGCATGTGCTCCCATCCAATCTAGCCACAGTGCAAGGTTGTTCATTAAAATTTTATTTAAATGGATATGAGGCGTGTGCACGTGTGAGGAGATTTCACAGCCTGGCGGGTTAGCAAATACCAAAGCTGTTCCAACTCACTAGACCCGATCCAAATCCACAAACAATTAAAGCGCACCACAGGTGGTCAAGCGTGTGGCACTGCAAAGTGGATGAATATCCAACTAGATGCATTTCTTTTTATTTATATAAATTTCTGTAATGGCCATTTCTTTTTCTCTTTCAATCCATGTTAAGTGCTACGTCCTTACCTTTATCTTAAAAATGGTTTGTAGGATAGCTAAAAAAGATTGAAGCAGCTGTAAGTAGTTGAAAAAATAAAAGTGTGATATTTGGAGTTTCTCTTTTGTTTGAAATGAGTTTTTCTCTCCACTGTCGCCCACTGCTCTGTGCACATTATTGGGATAATTATTCAAAATAAAGGTTGGATGCAATCTGTTGGCCTTTTAGTTATCTGCATTCAGACTGATATTGTTTTATTTCCAATACATTTTTATTTTGAAAATGTTATAACCAGCACATGAGCTGTAGAGTAAAGCTTGTTAAAAATAGTGTATAAAACAGCCACTCAACATAGGGATGGATCAATATATTGATCCAATCGATAACGCATCAACATTTTTCATTTTTTAATATATCACATAGGCCGATGCACCTCTTTAATTGAGACGATTTAAAGTTAGGCACATCTACGGGCAGCTTGGTGTTACTGCCGAAATTTATTTAAATGTATATTTTCATTCCTCATGCTTGATAAATGCTTAAAGCCTTATTGTAACTGACATGGATTTAAATTTACACGTTTTATATTTAAAACTTAGTCAATTTATTGATTTAATTAAAGGGACTTTTCAGACTTTAGAATTTTTATGCTCGCGATTGCCCCCTCAGGCCAAAAGAGTAACGGCAGCTTCAATAGTAGGCTCGTGCACGAGGCTCGCATGCTGTACGTGCACACTTCTTAACGAAAATAACAGCTGGCACAGTCCCGTCTGTGTATGTGGCCCAGAGGACAGAAGAACACAGCAAATTAATAAAAATAATGTGCCTCTGTCTCTGCAGCTGCACCTTCTCGTCGGCCGGCCGAACGTGCAGTGAAATGAAAAATGAAATGAAAAGCTTTATTTGTCCCAGGGAAGGGAAATTAGTGTGTGTGTGTGTGTGTGTGTGTGTGTGTGTGTGTGTGTGTGTGTGTGTGTGTGTGTGTGTGTGTGTGTGTGTGTGTGCGTGCGTGTGTGTGTGTGTGTGTGTGTGTGTGTGTGTGTGTGGCCCAGAGGACAGAGTACAGGAGAACGCGCAGCTAATTAATTAAATCATTTGGTTCTGTACCTTTCTCTTCAGCACAGCCAACAAAAGTTTTTGATGGGTCAGTCCTCCTGCATGCTCAGATCATTCCCTTCCCTTGCTTAAAAAATTGTTCCAAAATGAAAGTTGAACCCACATCTTTTTTATCCGTGAATTCAATGCCTTTCGGCGAGTCTCAAATAAAAATTTGGGCGCCTTGTTACTGTAAAAATATCATTAATGTAAAAAAGAGACTCCAAATAACAAGTTATGTTCACACCTGGAATCAAACCCAGGTCTTCTGCACGAGAGTCAGACATCTTACTAGGTGAGCTAAAGCGCCAGTGACATGCATTGTATCTGTAACATTTATATCCTTGATGACAGCTGAAACAACGTCAATCCAAAGAACAGTTCGGAGCGAAAATGGCTATTTTGTTGCTAATTTGCAGGAAATATCTAGAAGAAAGTTCTACAGAAAGTAGCTAAGGGTCCCCAGAAATGTAGCTAGGTTCATCACTAGGCGTTAGGAACAGCGACAAAGTCGCACTGCCTCTCTCTCTCTCTGCTGCTAAAGCTATGGATAGCAAATGCTACAGGCTATGCCTGAGCGTGAACGCGCATGAAGCAGCCTGCTCGACCCGAGCAGCTCTCTTTTTCTGTGATTTTACAGAAAAGCAGGCAATC